ACTTTGGGTGTTTTATAGTTAAAAGAAAAAGGAAGAAAATCCTGAAAAACGACATGTTCCAGTCACTATAGCTATGCAAAACCTTTGTGGATTTTCCAGGAAACAAAAAATTTCCGCCACAGTAAATCGGATTAAATGGTCTACTCATTGCAAAGTTTTTTAAAATTATTATTTAGATTAAAAATTTAGAACCAAGTTCATGACCATCATTCGCTGATTATTGTGTTTCAGATCCACGACGATGAATGGGTCTCATGGACCTAAAAGGTGTCAAAAGTAACAATATCGAAGTTCCTTGCATTTATACTGGGTATACTGGGTATTCTCAGCCTGCCTCAATAGCCAACTTTGATTCTAAAGACAATAATTCCGTTCGTATTTCTCCAAAAAGATGTTCATTTTTTTCAAGTTCCATGTTGAGTTCCATCATAATTTTTGAGAATGAACCTTCTGATATATCTACCAGAAGATTGTTCGCTATTAGAGTTAGAAAGAAATGAAGGATGGGTCAAATCTTCATCGATAATGTTAAAACTCCTTTGAGGACGCTGATGATCGTATCTTTCTTATAAAAACTCACCTTTATATAATTGCGATTTGAGGATTTAATTATCTACATATCGGAACACTATCCAAGTTTAATATTTAATTGAAATCTTTCAATTGGAGAGTCTGTACTCTGACTGGAGCTAGATTCTGCTGGTGAATTAGTAGAACTATAAATGACTATACAAATACATCTTTGAATGACATCCACTCGAAAATCTACCTAATTTTATTTGTGTTAATTTAGGCTATGCTTGGAGAATAAACTTTGATCCAGGTTCTTTTAGAGTATTGATGTTTTCGCCGTTTCGATATATAGTGTCCAATAGTTCTTCCTTATCCTCCAGCAAATTTTCACATTTCTTTCACATTTTCACGGGAGGAATAAATGAATGAAGATCAAAAATGTAATGAATATATGAAAAGGAACTTATTATGTTTGGCTAATATTTGGCTAATATGTTTGGCCACCTGGTTTTCGTGCGAACTCTTCTACACTGAAAAAATTTTATATTTGCTGGAAAGTTTGCAGTTTCCTGTTTTTCTGTAGAATTTATTCTAACACATACCAATAGAAATAAAAATAAAATAGTTTTCTATTATTTTCGTAAACTGCCTTAAATTTTTTGCTTAAATGAAAAAAATATTTATTTAATACTGTTATATTTATTAAGATATTTAATAATCTGGCATTTTGGATTTCTTAGGCCAAAATATTATTACAACATTATCAAGCTTTTCTTCCTTCAATTTGTCAAATCATATTATATTTAACATTATTACATTCATCGTGTTTTCTAAGAAGCTCCACTCAATTTTTCCGGTTAAGCTTGCTTCAACTTGTCGAAAGAGAAAAATTTTTGCAAGAGAATCACTTAACGACAGAATTACAAGTGAGTCGCCAACAACACTTGATTTTTTTTGAAAGACAAGTTTACCAGGAGTAAAATCTCAACATTTTTCCAGTTTCCAATGTCCAATTCTTAGCATGAAAATTTGGTTAATATTTTCTGGCCTAAATCTAAAGCTTGCTTTTACGAATCTACTTGATAGAAGAAAGACAAAAACCTTCTAAGATATCTAGTAAACTGATTCAAATATGTACCTATAATCTATTCTTCCCTATAATCTATTGTTTTATTTAAACCCCCTCAATCAGGTAATCACGAGAAATACACATGGATAAAAATTCAAAAGCTAAACTACCATCAGCAACGTCTATATGGATGATATTAATTTACACGCAAAAAGTGAACGAGACATTGACTCTCTTGTACCAAATAACAAATAACACGGATTCACTACAATGATGACATTGGGATATCATTCGGGTTGGAGAAATATGGTCAGATAGCAATAAATAGAGGAAAAAATAATGGCTGATGAGCCGCACTTGCCATCAAGCGGGCAACTAGCTACAAATACCATGGTAACCCACAGCCACACTGTGACCACAATAAGGAGACAAGGAGAATTGCAAAATCTAAGAATTACCAAAGAATAAGATAAATCCTGAAAAACCAGCTCAGTGATAGATGGCAGATATAATACCAAGTGACAGGGGCGTTAGGAAGAAACCCTTCATTCTTTAACTTCTTTAATTTAGTACTCACTGGTACTTACTACTATTAATTCTCTCCATTTGCAAAAATTTTGATAAAAATTTAGTTTCACTTGCAAGGTGCAATTTCATTTCCTATATAATAAATTCATTCTGCTTCACAAATATCACCATCACATAATTCTTTTTGCCTCCTTGTTAATGATTGCTCTGATTCGCATCGAGCATCATTGATTTAATTACTTTGATAGGAGAAAAAAAAATCATAAAAAGTTAGATGGTGGTGGTACAGACATCAACTGGAACATTAAAACGTTTAATAAAAATCAATAAAATCAGCCCAACCAATAATAAAGATAAAGGTGAAAAGAAGGAACCCTTCCCGTGGTTCCACAGACCTTTCGAGTAAAGACGGAAGAGCACTGGAAAAATATCACTACAAATATCACTACAGCCACATCCATTCTGTGCCTTCTGTGTTAACATAACCGTTCACTGGTTTAGATTTAATAATGTATCCAAATGAAAGAAGCAACTGAATGATAGAAATCTAAAAAGTGAGATATTTAAATAATATTAGTAAAACTAAAATTATTTACATAATATTAGTAAAACTAAAAATTTTAGAAGACAAAGAATAATGATGGATATCATTTGCTGTTGGCTGTTCATCGTGTGCAATTCCCATTTTACCTAAAAATAAGCGAATACATTAGATGAAACCAATACAAAAATAAAAAATAGTCTCCACAAGATCCGCGACATTTAAACAAACAAAGAATATGCACCTGTCCTCTGCAAAGCTATATTCGAATTCGAGAAGCCATTTCCCGTTGCAGGCCACGAAAAGCGCAGCAACGTCAAGTCAATTAAAACTTTTAAAAATTTTAATTGACTTTTTAGAATCACCGATGAAATTAGCCAGAAACAAACAATTTGTTGAAATAAATTCTTACAATTTTTGGTAGATGCTCTTCGATACGGCATCGGTGATTCATTATGGCTTGGAAACGTCTTACCTTTGTGGCCAGTGGAACCAGCCTAACAGGTAATGGCGAGAGCTGTTGGAAGAAGATTCAGCAGTGCAGAAATCAGGGTCTTATATAGGGTCTTCCTATTCTGATCTATGTTTATAAATTAATTTATCGTGTGCACTAAATTTTCGTCCTCAAACATCATTGCTGCTTTGGTTAGCTGCATTGGCGACGTGCATAAGACGTCTTTGAGCCTTCTGACACATACCTGAAAATACTGAAACCACTCATTTTCCCGTCAAAGTCCGTAAATCGCCTTTAAGTTCAATGATTTCGCATTTTCCGCACTTTTTATATGGCGTTAAAATCTGGCATCATATCGGATATGATATCGGATAACAATTTTAGAATTTATCTGATTTTTACACTGATATTATGATAGTACCTAACGGAGTTATTTTTAAAGAGAAACAGGAACGTCCGGTGGTGTGCTGGTTCGGAAATTCGGACAGATGACTCACTTCTGTTTCTATCCTTAAGTTGCTTTCTGGCTGAAAAGCCAGAGCCAGAGGACCAGAAGGACCAGAAGTGACGAAAATATGCGTAAAAAAATATTAAAGATATTCGGCTGAATTAACGAAATGCTCAAGATCAGATGAAAACCAGCAATTCGAAAAATTTTTTTACAAAAAAAGAAAAATAACTGTGGCATCGGCTGCATTTCTCTAATCTCGACAAAATATCTAAAATGCAGCTTAATTTTTGGTTTATTATTTTTTCGCGTGAAATTCGGGTATTTAAAAACAAATTTTTTAGTATAAATCTGCTAAAATAAAGAGGAAATTAAGGCGAAGTTGTGTAATTATAAGTTTTTAGTGGATTCTCCGTTGTTAACTTTTGTTAACTCTTTTGTTATTTCACGCGAAAAGCCGATAAAACGCCGAATAAAAACTCGTTAGGAGAGGCGTCGGACTTTGACTATCTCGGACCCACAAAACCTCTTGGTTATCGTCGAGGTGCTAGCGATTGGCATTAGCACTGCGGTTTATGGCCTCGAGGAAGGCCGTTCGAGACCTGGACGGATGCACTTAAGGGAGACTTGAACGCAGGCTTAGATTTTAGATGCGCAGCTGAAAACGATGTGTCGGCTAATTGTTCGAACTCAACGCAAATCGGAAGTGCCCAGTAGTGGGATAGAATGGCTCAGTGGATTGTCGCTAAATTCGGGGCGCCGTGCCAAGGGACTTCCTGGCATATTCTTCTTATACGACAAACCAGCGAAGCGAGTCTAACCAGTAATGGTGAGGGATCTCTAAACAAAATAAGTCACCAGTAATGCTAGCCAATCCAGCAGTAGTGTACGTTGGAACGAGAAGTAAAATAGGCGTAGGTGTTATCAGTTTTTAATTTTTTTTTATTTAGAAAAATTAAAATTGAAAATTAAAAAAATTGAAAATTAAAATTAGAATGCTTTAGATGAATTTGTTGAAAAAGATTCAAGCATATTGGATACATATTATTGACTTCCCTCTCTTTCTCATCTCATATGTTTACTGTGGTCCCGGAATGTTAAAGCCATTTTTTTACTTCTTTTTACTTCTATTTGATACTTCTCAGCTATTCAGACGAAAGGAGCCAGCACTTAATGGTGAAGGAGTTGTGAAGTCATAAGATGGAAGGAGATAAAGAAAAATTGTGAGTGTGGAAAATGGATAAAGTATCCCCTTCCTAAATTGCTTAGTGAGGCGATGGGAAAACAACGAAAGAGTTTGGGGAATGGAAGGGGAAATGGAAATGACACATAAATCTGTGAAATTTCGTTTCCTTTTATTTCGGAATTTTGGTTTTCAGAATCAACCTTTATTTTTCTACTGCAGATATTTCAGTTGCCAATAATATATATTTCGATACATATTTTAATGGCTTCAATGATAAAAGGCGATCCACATGAAGTAGAACACGTAGAAGATGATCGATTTCGCGGTGAAGGTAAAATTATTGATGAAGAGGATCGAGAAGAACATTTCGTTAAGCCATTACATACGTATTATTGCCACTGTGGCCAGGTTTTTCTACTTTTTTTTATTGTTTAATTTTTTATTGTGTATTTTTTGTTTATTTTATAGATCTTATAGATCGAGAAATGAGGAATAGATCACCTATCTCGTTTCTCTTTGAATACTCTTTGTAGACATACCTCCTTTGTTGAATAGCTGTTTGATAATTGAATGCAAGCTGAGTCTTTTACAATAGTTTAGTTCGTTCTCTTTTGAGGCTTTTCACTAGCTATTTATTTAGAATTTTTTAATTTGATCGAGATTGCGACTTTCAACGCAATTTAATATCGTAAAAGGTGCGCCGAATGGTTCGACTATTTGAAATTCATGTAGAGCTTATGGAGCCGAACTTACCAGTAAAAACAGCAAATAAAATAACTGAATAATCCATTTGATTTGATTAGTTTAACTGTATTTGTATAGTTAACATTTGAAAAGAAATTTCTGCAGAGGTTGAAAAAGAATATTTAAGAAAATAAGAAAATATTGTGGAATCGTATTTTTCATCGTTTCTTCAATCAGTAAGAATTATTTTGCTACAAAAAGAACTAAAGTGCTATTCTGGAAAAAAAATGATTGTTTTTTGCACTAAATCATATGGATAAGCTGTGAAGCAGTGTGTCAGATAATGACAGATTTACCTATTTAAAGACTGAAAAAGTTAGAAGAGTTCTGTCATTATTTTTGTTCACTTTCATTCCTTTTAGATGGCAATGATCAGTGATACCGTTATAATACGCATGCCATTAAGAAAAAGAGATCAAGCTAGAGTCATTGATCCTGCTCGCACTGTTGCCAAAACTTTTTGTGAGAATGGAGACACTGTTTATGTTCGAAGGTATTTTTTCATTTAAGACATTCCTTTTTCGTATTAAACCTATCACCGTAAATAATTCAATTTGTTGAATAATATTCCAATCTTTTTTTAGACCAGAAGGTTTAGAACAACAGTATCGTAAAAACTGTCGTAAATGTGCCACTCCACTTTTTTATCAACATCCCTTCAATTTAAAAGTTGTTTTCATATTTGATAATGCTCTTCGATCTGCACAGCAAGTCGGTGGATTAAAATTTGCTAATGAAGAACAGCCTGTTAAGAAAGTTGGTTAAGACTTTATATTCTTGTTAACATTCGAATTCAAAATTCCAATTTCATTTACATAATGCAAAAATACTGTAGAGTAATATCCATATTTTAAAAAAGTTTTGTTAATACATTTCAGGTGATAATGACAAAACATGTCAAAAATCAAGGGAAAGTTGGTTCAGTAACTGTTTCTACTATTGAAGAAGCGGAGGACGAAATTGAAGCTGTACGGTGTTAATAAATAATAATTTATGATTATGATTTTTATTTTTACGAATGATTTTTGGAAACTTTATATGTGTCGCCGAATGGCGAACAGGATTATATAATTGAGTGCTCCATACACGTCGCATCCGCGACGCGTCTTATAAAGACTATTGAAAATCTAAGAAAAATTAGAGTTAGAAAGAAGATCGGTCCTGACTGGTTGAGCTACAGTCAGGAAAATTGGCCGAAGGAACCCTACAATGAAATCATCCACCAAGCTGTCACAGCTTTCTCAGGAAAGCAAGTTAAAAGTAAAACCATGGAAAAGATTGAAAGAACAAAGGTTGATACATCTCGCCTCAGTAATTGGCAGGAATTACCAGGGACAGTCGTATGCGTAATAAAATTTGTAGTAAAAACTCAGAAGATTCGAAAGTTAGACCACATCACAGACACAGGAGCTCGAATATGAACCTTCTGGCAAAAACATGGTTAATTCGTTAATTTGTTAACATGGTTAATCTCAGTCGGAAGGAGTAACTTCAAGAGATGTATTAAAATCGGAACTTTATCAGGACGAGAATAATATCTAAAGATATGCAAAGGTCGTATTCCCAATAATGTAATATTCCTTCCTAGAAAGAGCTGAGTCACCGAGCTCATTATCTTACATCTTCACGCAACTCATGGTTACTGTGGTACCGCATACACGCTGGCACTACTACGGCAAGAATATTGGATTTCGAAGGGTAGACAGACTATAAGAAATGCAATAAGGAAAAATTGCATGAGCTGCAGGTGGTTTAAGTAAAGTGATGGTTCTCTCTTCTGCACAATTGCCTCTAGAGTTTTTTGTTTAATTGAGGATTTAATACATCTAGGAACCTCTCTGTTCCTTAAGATCATCACATCCTGATCTCATAATGGTGTGTCTGGGTATGTAGAATATTCCTTAGCGATGAGTTCCTCTTCCTCTGTAATTTCTAAAGGGTAAAGAAGGGATACTGGCTTGATTAATTCTTTACCATTGGATAATTTAATTTTTACCGATCTTATCTTATGGGGATTTAGAGTATTTCCTTGAAACTCATCATTTATTTCGATGATTCTAGCCAACTGCCAGATCCCTCTATCTTTGTTCTCCTCACATAGTAAGACGACCTCATTTACCTTTGGGCTTCTATTCACATTCGAACGGGGAATGTAATGCTGACGGCTAGCCTTTTCCCGAAGGTTGATATAATCCTGTCGCCAAACTTCTGAAAATCTTTGGAGTAATTTTTCAGGTTCTTTCCATCCTTTTAAGAGCCCATCTCTACTATAGTTTTCCGGTCTGCCATAGTCTTCATCCTCATTCTTATTCAGTAGTAAGTGGTTTCTTATTTCTTGTCCATGCACGCCGTTCGATTCCCTGCCGATGCACCATGCACAGAAAAAACTTAGCGATACGAAAATTTTGGGAATAGAGCGATTCCACTTCCAATATCTACTTTTACAATATTCCTTTGGGAATCCTATCTATTATGTTTTTCTGTGTAGATTTAATAAGTTTCCTGCCCCGCGGGACTTTTAATTGCTTCACAGTATTATAAATTCTGCAGCCAGCGTTCTCTTCTTACTCGTTGCGAACCCTCAAACTTGGGTAATTAAACCTGCAGCTCAATTTCTCCTTATTGCATTTCTTACAGTCTATCTACCCTTCGAAATCCAATACTCTTGCAGTAGTAGTGCCAGCGTGTATACATTACCACAGTGACCATGTGTGAAGATGTAATGAGTTCAGTGATTCTGCTCTTTCTAGAAAGGAATATTACATTATTGGAAATAATACCTTTGCATCTGTAGATATAATTCTCGTCCTGATAAAATTCCATTTTAATACATTTCTTGAGGTTACTCCTTCCGATTGATATTGACGAATTAGCCATGTTTTTGCCAAAAAGTTCATATTCGAGCTCCTGTGCCTCATGTTGTCTTTCGGATCTTCTCTGATGTTTTTACTACAAATTTACGCATACGACTGTCCCTGGTAATTTCTGCCAATTACTGAGGCGAGATGTATCAACCATCTTTATTCTTTCAATCTCTTCCATGTTACTTTTAACTTGCTTTCCTGAGGAAGCTGTGACAGTTTGATGAATGATTTCATTGTAAGGTTCCTTCGGCCAATTTTCCTCACTGTAGCTCAGCCAGTCAGAACCGGTCTTCTTTCTAACTCTATTTTTTCTTAGATTTTCAATAGTCTTTACAAGACGCGTTGCGGACGTGTATGAAGCACTTAATTACATAATCCTCTCCGCCATTCGGCGACAATATACCTTATTAAGGAAATGATTTTTGGAAACTTATATACCTTATTGAGAAAGAAAGCAGAATTGTTTCCTTAAAGCAAATGCGTATTTTTCTTTATGTTTCAGAGAATTTATTTTTCAGCGAGAAATAGCCGAATCATATACATTAAATGCAAGGGTTATCGAGAGCCAGATGAAGAAAAAGGGAATGAAAAGGAATCGCATTGCCGACGAATTAATTGAAGCTGAAAAGAGAAAACGTGAACATAAACGCGGAACATTACTGTAGGCTTAATGTATTTGTAATATTAATGTACATATTTCCAAAAAATATATTAAAAAAATGGATATATATACTCTTAATTACTTTGTAAAGAAACAAAAGCTCAAAATGAAAATATTTATTTGAATCAAATCTGTGATAGAGTAATTGGCAAAAGTAATATTTATTTAATAAGTAATACTTATTTGAATCCGGACTTCTGATCCGGTGGTACATGCAATATAAATATACGATCCGTGCGTAATAACTATTATTAAATAATTTCAAGGCCCAAGCATAGGATTTGCTCGCGAACCGAGATAATTACTCAAAACCCGTCAAGGGAGGCGAGAACTCATCCGCTAATATTTTGTATAAGCGGCGAGGTGAAGGCTATAGCTGTTTGGAACGTCAGAATGTTAATGGATTTTGTAAGTCAAACACTGTCACTGTTTACACTCTTTCTAAATACCGCGTGGATGCAACTTGTATGTCGGAGGTCCGTCTCCCTCAAATCGCTCCCCAGTAATTGTTAAACCTGGTTTCAAGCAAAAATATTGGCTATATTACTATGGTGTCTTGGATAACTTGGGGCGAAATAGCGTAGCAACTGTCATGTCTAAAAAGTTCGATTCACTCGATTGATTGACTGGAGGCTAGTAAATGATCCTATGACCGCGCGCTTCAGAGGAAAGTTCTGCAATATTTCGGTCATCAGTGTATATGCTCCAATTTCATGCGCAGATGACCGCGAAAGTTCTATGCGGAACTTCAACTGTTAACAACATCCCCACCGAGAGGTGACATGGTCACACTCAGGGGATCTTGGAATGCGCGCGTAGATTATGCCGTTTCAATGAACTCAATGATTGGGAAATACGGCATTGGGGCCCAATGCGCCAATGGAGAACGCCTTTTTCGTTTTGCTGAAGAGCATAAACCATAAACTCTTTGTTACTAATATGTGCTTTCGGCATCAGAGAAAATATCTAATCACGTGGAATTCTCCGGATAACCAATATTCCAATTATACTATATATTAGTCAGTCACCGCTGGAAGAGTTCTGTACTTGATAGTCGTTTCTTCACAAAACAACTATAGCTCGAGAAAGGGGAACGATGCGGGATATTAATGAGATGTCTTTTAAAGCTGTTAAGGATTGCCTAAGAAGATGAAAAAATTTTTTTAGACCAAACTTAACCACGATGTACTATTTGCTGACCCGAATATAACTGATTCGCCTGTCGAGCCTTACGTTTGCTACCGTGAATCGGCAACAGAAGAGGAAATAATATCCATAAACTTAAGACCATTAACTCTTGGAAAGAATGGTCTTCAGGCCGAATTCTTCAAATGTTCTCCATCGTCATTCATAAGTCACCTTCAACAAATGTATTCTGTGGTATGGCAAAAGGAAATGATACTAGAAGACTAGAGCAAAGCAATTCTGCTTCCAATTTCTAAGAAAGCTGACAGGACGTACTGCGATAATTACTGAGGAATTAGCCTGCTAGATATTGGAAGAATTTTCGATTCCCTTCTGCTAAATAGACTCATAGACATCGCTTCAAATACCAGCAATCCACCGTCACTTGCTTTATCGCTTTTGCAACTGCCTTCAATTCGCCTGATAGAACAGCACTTTGGAAACTGGTAGAATTTGACGGTGTCCCAGAGAAGATCATTTGGGTCATAAAGGCATTTTATCAGCATACCTTGGGATAAGTCTGTGTATATGGGGAACTGACTGATCCTTTCGAAATAAAAACTGGTGTCCAGGGTTGAGTCCTTTTCCTTACAATAATCAATTATGCGATAGACTGGATAATGGGCATTGCTTGTCGAAACTTAAGAAGTGTGCAAATCAGTCCAGCGCATAGCATTACAGATCTCGAATACGTTGATGTATATATGTATGGTGATGTAGTTCTTTTTGCTGATAGCTATAATGAAATGCAAATAATGTGAAACAATATGTCAACAGCTGCAGCGAGAATTGGACTCAAAATCAATTTAAATAAAACGATAGTATTTTCGTCTTTCATACAAGAAGCTAAAAAAATACCTTTTTTTTATCAATTCATTGCTGGTTAAAGTGCGCGACTTTAAATATCTTGGATCCACTCTAATCCCAAATGGGCAAGCAAAGGATGAAATTGTAACCCGACTAACGATAGCTAGAAATGTGTTTTTTGGGTTGATGAAACCTTTATGTGGAATCGTTGTGGAATCACCATAAAAACGAAAGTCCGAATCTTTATAGCCGTAATTCGTTCGATCTTGCTATATGGCTCTGAGACATGGCCAATGAGAGTGGAGGATATTAAGAAGTTATCTGCTTTTGACCACTCTTGTCTAGGGTACCCGTCGGGATAAAATATCACATGATCGCACCCATCTTCGTTCAAATACCACTTGCATTAATAATATTATCACAAAGCGTTGGCTTCGCTAGTTAGGGCACGTTCTCCGTCGTCCACCACAGGAGTTGACACATATTTCGTTACTTGCTAAACCCTATGATGGGTGAGTACATAAAAATCGAGGTAGTCAAATTAATACCTGGAGTGGTACGATCAGAAAAGATTTTGAACATATAGGTGTACCAGCAATATATGGACTTAGGCGATGGAAAAAGAAATGGCTTCCATTACTACTAGCGATGGTGTCGGATCTAGCAGCTTGAAGACGTCTTACTCTTACAGGTAGCGGATGTAGCCTAACCAGCTTAATGGTGAGAGCCGTTAGAAGAGGAAGAAGAATTGGCAAAAGTTGGCTTTAGTATAATTTTTGGCAACTTAACGCATAAATAATCATTAAAAACTTGAAAATTAAGGTTATCAAATCCTTTCATTGCAATATCTTGACAATAATATAATTTTAAAAATTACAACTGCAAATTATAGCAACTCATTTCTGAATTTCTATGCGTTTTATATTCCATTTGCCCGTTTATTAACATTTGTTAAACGTCCAAACTGAAGATTATTAACTGAAGTTATTGGTAAAAACTGAAGATTATTTATAAATATAATAAAAATATAACCATAAGATACTGGGAAGATGCATAGCGAAGTAAGTAGGTATTAGACGATTTAAATTTCATGCAACATTGGTTCGATATGCTCACCGCTTGACGAAAATTTGAGGTTGCCATTAAAAATAAAACTCGGATGGTGTTAGGGATTGTTTATACTTCAGTCACAAAATGACTGTTCACAAAATGACCGTTTCTTGACGGAGCTGTTGTGGTCAATGAAACATGCCAAACAAGAAATGATAATGATAGCAGACTTTCAGCAGACTTTCTAAAAATTATCCATGAATAAAAAGCGAAGCAGAGAAATCCCTGATGTATATCGCTCAATTTCATTAACCTCAAGACGATTTCTAATTGGCTCAGATCAAAGAATTATTCGATTCGAATTATTCGTTAAATATTTTTAGTAAGAGATTGGCCAAATATCTGAAAATTAAAAATATTGAAAATATTGAACTGAAATTTAGATATTTTCCGATTATCTGAGCGACGATGAGGTGCCATCATATTTCGCATTTTACTCTTTCCATTTCCTTCTGTTCCTCCATCTGCCGTACTCTTTCTTCACGACGATTTGCATCGGACCACTCACCTTATTTCTGAAAAGAGACTCCTCGCCATCATATTGCCACTATAATTCATAATTTAAAAAATACTTCATAAATAATACTTCATATCGTTGAATTGGTGCATAGCGATTGTTAGAAATGACTTAAGTGCAGCTTCAGCCTGAGAAAGAATGCTTTATGTGGAGCAATTTTTGCGAGGTTTGAGAGAGGGTTGGTTGTAGTGTCGTTTCCAGCATTTTTTAAAAATCTGGTTTAATCTGTCGGGAAAGGATGGGAAATAACGGAACGATTGCAGTTTGATGTAACTTTTCTCCAAATTTTTTGTTTTTTTCGGTCTTTTTTGATTTATTGGGATTTGTATTAAGTAAAATAATAAGCAGTTGCCTATGCATCGAAACATCTTTATTGTATACATCTTTGTTAAATTGCAAATCGAAGTCATTGGGCAGACGTCAGTTAAGATGAGCGATAATCGCTTTCTAGGAACCTTCGAAACGATCGAATCATTTGTGTAGTCAAATTAGTGATTTTCTGGCCGCAGAAGAATGTGAACATTGTACATCTTTCCTGCAGGCGATCCCACGCCGCTGCATCACTCAGTTTAGATTTGAAAGGATTCCTCAAATTTTTGCATTTCGGTTTGCTGTGGCCGATCGAATTTCGCGATTATTTATAATACGAATTTATCAGCCAAAATTTGTTCAGATATGGCTGAAGCAGGCAATTGGTGCCTAATTGAATCCGACCCTGGCGTTTTCACCGAATTAGTCCGAGGTTTCGGTGTTACTGGTGCACAAATTGAAGAACTTTACAGTCTCGAATCAGAACAGTTTAGTCAATTAAAGTTAGTCTTTTAATGCTTCTTCAACAGTCCTTCATTTCAGATTTACTGAACGGTTTGGCGTTACTGGCGATTAAAATCATTTGTGCATGGAATTTGACATAAATGGATCTTCAGTATTACCCTTATCTCACTTTATGACAACGATTACTTCCATTAATTAGGGATGAGGACCCTTGGTGTTCAAACTCTTGCTCGTAGCAATATATTCAGCGGTCCTGTTTATTTTATAAGGATCGAATCATCCAAATATATTAATGGAAGTAATTTGTTGGTAATCCTAATTTATCTAATACGGTTTACTTGTTGTTGCATAGTTAATTCAGAGATGTAAGCTTATAAATGGAAGGCGGATAAAATTAGACTAAACAATTGATTTAGCAGTGGAAGGAAATGAAGGAAGGAAAATCCACCACCTCACAATTATTGTATGGTGGCATATTATTTAAATATAAGCACGTATTTAATTATTTGTTATCAACTCGTCGTTTTTCGTTTGCACTAAAAAAAATCATTGAGATAATTTTTAGATTGATTTTTTAGAATTATTATTGTAATTGACAATTCAATTTCTAATAATTTCCACTTCATTTCTCGAAATTTCAAAGTTCATTTTGATATTTTAATTTGGATAATTCGGATAAAAATTGCTCGTTAAAATTTTCCATTTTCAATAATTCATTGTTTATTCTACCTTTCTATATTTTCCATTTTGAGAGAAAAGAAAAATAAGCATGTAAAAATTCATTATTCGAAATTCAATAATCTGACATCATAACTTTTTAAAAAGGCAAGAAAAAGCATTATGGTGGTCGGGCATTGTTAGTCTATCAGTATAAACATCGTCAAATATGTATGCATCGTCAAATTGCAATCTTCTCATTTTTATTTTGATTATTTTTTAAGTTTTTTCCTTCATCACAAACTTAAAATATATGGATAACTTAAAATAACGGATAAGTGGCACAAATGATTTGAATTCCATACGTTAACTGAATTATTTGGTTGCAGGAATTAATTGAATTATTATAGGCCTGTTCATGGTCTAATCTTCTTGTTTAAATGGCGTCCAGGTGAACAACCAAGTGGAACTGTTAGCAACAATGAAAAAATTTTTTTTGCTGGACAAGTATACTTTAGATTGTATTATATTATCTCATATTATTATATGAGAAAATTAATTTGTAAAAAGGTTCTTCATTTCCGTAATTCAATAGTTCTAGTTTCAATCATTAATAGCTGAACAATTGAATTTAAATTTGTCCATTTAAATTTCAATTTAAAGTTTTTCTTATTTTTTTACAGATTTTTTTATTTCTTATTTTTTTAATTTTATTTTTTAATTCTTTTGTTTTTGTTTCAGTTTTATTTTATAGTTCGATTTAACTTGTAAATTTAGATAAAATTAGAGTGAAAATAGCGTTTCAATTTTTCTCTACCTTTTTGTTTACCTTTTTTCTAAGGTCGTTCGCCATTTCCATTTCTCTCCGCAACTTGTTGAGCCGAACAAATTTTGTCAAGGAAAAATTTGACGATAAAAGTATAGGTGTATCGCCTGCAGGTGTTTGATTTTTTTAAAAGACAGATTCACTTCTGTCTAGTCTAGAATAGGACCTTAAAATATTTAAAAAATAAAGAAATTTGAGCAAGCCACTAAGCTATTCTTCTCTTCTTCAATTTATTGCTTTATTATTGTTCCCGCTTCAGATATTTGCAACCTACTGTCACATGTTTCATCAATTTTGCGCTTGCCTTTGATTCAATTGGCGAAGCGGCGCTTTGGAGAGTGATGGAACGCGACGGTGTTCCAGAGAAGATCATTCTACTCATAAAGGCATTTTATGACCGCAAGTCGGCGCAGATCTGTGTATATGGGGAACTGACAGAAGAGCTGGTGTCCGTCAAGGTTGTGTCCTTTCCCTTACAATATTCAACCATGCGATAGACTGGATAATGGACACCACTTGTCGGTACTCAAGAGGTCTAGTCCAGATCAGTCTTGAGCATATTGTCACAAATCTTGAATACGCTAATGATATAGTCTTTTACGCTGACAAATGCAAATAGTGCTAAACAAGTATCGACAACTACAGTGAGAATCGGACTGAGGATCAATGTAAATAAAATGAAAGCCATTTCGTTTATGTACAAGATAAAATGTCTCTTTTCATAAATCCATCACATTATCGCTGAGGAAATGCCCGATTTTAAATACCTTGGATCCACTCTAACAGAGAGTGGCCGGGCCAAAGACGATATTACAACTCGGATTACTGTAGCTAGAAGTACCTTCCTGTTCACGAAATCTTTATGGAGCCGTCGTCAAATCACCATAAAAACGAAGATTCGCAAATTTCGAAAATTCTATATAGCTGCAATTCGTTCGACCTTGCTATATGGCTGTGACCAATGAGAGTGGAGGATATTGAGGAGTTGCTATTAACCTTTGACCACTCATGTCTTGCACTTTTGCGGGTTCGCTGAGGTGAACAGACATACTTTTTCGAAATAAAAACTGGTGTCCGTCAAAATTACGTCCTTTCTCCAGTATTCAACTATGTGATAAACCGGATAATGGACATCGCTTGTCGGCACTCAAGACTGCGGCGAGAATCGTACTCAGGATCAATTAGGATCAATATAAATAAAACGAAAGTCTTTTCGTCTTATGTGTAAGAAGCTAATAAAATGCCTCTTTTTATAAATTCTTTTCTGGTTGAGGAAGTACCCGATTTTAAATACCTTGCGTCCACTCTAATATCAGATGACCAGATGAAAGATGATTTTACCTGGATCACGGCAGCTAGAAATGCGTTCTTACGGTTGACGAAACCTTTATGGAGCCACCGTGAATTATCATTAAAACGAAAGTCCGCATCTATATAGCCGTGATTCGTTCGATCTTGCTATATGGCTCTGAGACATGGCCAATAAGAGTGGAGGATATTAAGAAGCTATTTGCCTTTGACCACTTTTATCTAAGGTATATTTTACTCGAGCATATATAATATCACATGATCGCATTCATCTTCGTTCAAATACCACTTGCACAAATAATATTATCACAAAGCCTCGCCTTCGCTGGTTAGGGCGTTCTCCGTCATCCATCACAGGAGTTGACACATATTTCGTTGCTAAACCTTATGATGGGTGGACACATCAAAAGCGAGGTGGACCTGGACTGATACGATCAGAAAAGATTTTGAACGTATAGGTGGACCAGTAATATATGGACTACGATGGAAAAAGGAATGGCTTCTATTACTGTTGAAGATGGCATCAGATCGCACTGCTTGGAAGCTTTTTACCCTTGGAGCCAGCCTAACCAGTAATAGTGAGTGCTATTAGAAGAGAAAAAGTTCCCGTTTAATTTATTGTTCTAAAAAAAAGCTAAAGATAAATTTTAAATTTTATTTGATAAAGTTAATTTAATTAATAGATTTAAATAATGGCGAAATAATAAATGTTTTAAGTATGGATTTTATTTTCACTATTAAAATTCCACTATTAAGTTTATTTTTTATTTTTTTGCAGATAATTCAAAATGCTTGTGCAACAATAGCGATAATAAATTTATTACTTAATTTGCCTTCTGATTCGGGAATTAAATTGGGAAAAATATTAGAAGATTTTCAAAATTTTACTCAGGACTTCGATCAAATGGTATTATTTTTAAAAAAATTTTGTTCATTATTTAATTTCATTTAATTTTTTTCAGCTTTGGATCATTTTTTTCCATTATTTTAATTAATTTTAACTGCAGTTTTATTTCGTTCTTATTTTTTATTACAAATTAAGATCTGATACTTTTTAAATGTAAGCAAATAAAGTGAAATAAGATTAGAAAAAGTTATTCAAGTTATTGGAAATTTTTTTTTTTTAGCATCGCGGTCTCTGTTTAACTTCATGTGAAGCAATCCGAGATGTCCATAATAGTTTCGCTAGGCAACATCTTTTTGAGCTTGATATAAAATCAACAAGCAAAGTTATTTTTTTGGCTGTTTTTGAGAAATTTTAAAATAAATTAAGCTCCATTATTATTATTATTATAAAAAATTAAATTGTTTGGTACTTTCTACTTGTTCTTTGGAAAGAATGATTTCACTTCTTTTCTTTTTCTTGTGGTGATGAAATTTATTAATAAAATTCTTTTTTCGTTTTCATTTTTTAATTCCAGTTTTTCAGGATGACGATTATCATTTTGTAACATATATGCCAATAGATGGACATATCTATGAATTGGACGGTTTGAGGCAAGGACCAATTGATTTAGGTGCAATTAATGAGGGTGAAGATTGGATTGATACTGTACGGCCTATTATTAGTAACAGAATACAAAGGTAATTTTATTTTTTAATTTAAAATACTTTTCAAAAATATTTGTAGTATTTATAGTTTGAATCGTTTTACCATACCATACTGTTCGATTATGATACTCTCCTTGGTTTTGCCTTAAATGATAGTTTCAAAACCTGTTTCATTTTTTTTCTGTATTATGTATATTTTCGTTTATTTATTTAACTTAAATTTTCGTAATTCTTCAATATTTTCAAGAAATAAAATTAACAGAATGAAGAAATTAAGAAATATTTGAAAAAAGACAAATGGAATTTTGCATCTGAAATTTAAAATTTAACATCAAAAATTGCAGTTATTTGAGGTTTCTGAGTTAAACGAAATTTTATTTTTTTTGAAACGAATGGCTAAAATGACTGGTATATTTTTAATTTAATATACTTTTAGATACAGTGAGAATGAGATTCATTTCAATTTATTAGCTGTGATTAGTGATCGAAAAATGAAATATGAAAAACGACTTCAAGAATTATTGGAGGTTTGATTCCTTCTATTTCAACTTTATTATTTATGTTTCACTCCAAATTTCCAGCAGTATTTTGAGATGGAAGAAAAATTGGAGTCAAAATACAGTTTTATTTAATTATTATATTTTTGTTACTTCTGGTAACTTATTATTTATTATTATTATTTTATTATTATTATTATTTAGTACTTATTATTATTTAGTGTTTTAATGATTAATAGATATTCGTTTTAATTAAGTTATAAATTTCCATCTACCCAGTTATTTTAATGTCATTTTGCTACTAATTTCAATTTCGCCTTAAATAGCAGAATATATTTTGCTTAGGCTGAGGTGTTGATTTGAGGAAAAAAAGGAATTTCATCACGAGAATTTCATTATGTTCGAAATTTTAATTGTATTATAAGAAAAAGGAATTTTTCTTGCGGAATCTCAAAATGGGATGTTTGAAAAAAATTGCAGAATCATTCAGTGCCGAATATTCTTTTAGTTTGGTATGGAATCAGAAGAAAATGCGAAAGAAATAGTAGAATTAGAAACAAATATTGCTATGGAGGAAGAAAAAAGTAGAAAATATAAAATTGAAAATATCCGACGTCGGCATAATTATATGCCTTTTATTGTAGAATTATTGAAAATATTAGCAAAAGAAAATAAACTAGTACATCTTGTTGAACAGGTAAGTATTTTTGATTGGATATCCAATTATTTTATACTGCGATTTTTTAAAAAATAAGAGAAAAAAATTATTTATATTATTATTATCTTTTGCATTAAAAATAATATCACCATATTTCGTTGAATTAGTATATAAACAAAATTTTCAGGCGAAGGCGAAAGCAGCGAGTCCTACACATGCTTCAAAAACATTAAAAAAATCCAAAATTTGAATGAAATTGATGATGGTTCTTAAGATATTCATAATTTTTTATTCATAACTTTTCTGATTGTGTTAAAAATTTGTTTAAAAATTTTTCAACTTTTTGCTCAGGTTTTTTTTCAAAAATTTTCAACTGAATGATCTTTTTGAATATTTTTCTTACCTCTAACACTTTCTTTAAAAAAATTTATTAACACTTTTTCTAATCTTTTTCATGATTTTTTGGTTAATGTTTGTATCACGTAGAATTTTATTTAAAAAAAATTATTAAACAAAATTTTGTCTAAATTTCATTGGAGAATTTCATTATGTTCGAAATTTTAGACAAAATTATTAGACAAATCGGAACAGCGTGAAGCATTAGAAACCGTTTTACAAAGCATGTCAAAGAATAAAACTGAAAAATTATCGGCAAGAAAATTGAATAGAATTTCTGGTGAAATATTCATCACAAAAATTCACTTCTTAACACTTTATTTTTTTAACATGGAGTTTTTATGCCAAATTATTTAAATGCTGGAAGTGCTGAGTTCGGAATTTAAAAATTTACAGACTCGAACGACTTATGGAAAATTTTTAGGGAAAAAACAATGTTAAATATGTTATGATATTATGCTTAACCTCAGTTATAATACAGAACAAAGTTGATAAATAAATTTTTTTTTAGATAAAATAATACGAATAATGCGAATATAATATTTTAAGGCAGATAGGATCGATGAATTTCTTTCGGTAAATGGTCAGATTACTATAAAAGAGAATTGGAAAATAAAGGGTTGATTTTTGAATATTCCAGTCCACACTTCCAATTTGCTTTAAATCCATATATGAATGGATTTAAAAAAGTGAAAACAACGAAAACTCGAAAAATATCAAAATTTATTGATAATGATACGCTTAATTCCTTACTGATGAATATTGCTAAAGTTAAAAATTATAAGGTAACCAACACAACAGATACAGTAATATTACATAATACTTGTGTGGCTTATCTTTGTTCTCAGCGATTTCGATTCAGAAATTTTTGCACGTTTCGGTGTCGAAGTTGACTTATTTGCTAGGAAAAAAGTTTATCGATTATCGAAGTTTATTGATTAAATTCTATTGCTTCGATGGTGAGAATTATATAAAGGAGAAAATTTTCATATCATTTATGAACGAAAAATGGAGAAATAAGGAGTTTTCTTTCATAATCCCCCATTGCTAATTATAGGAAAATTTACACTTGAAGAGTATCCAGTGTTAAAAATTTTAAATTTTCCTGTCCATGTAAGAATTTAGTTATTCAAAGCAATTATTTGGCATATTAGCTGTACTGTTTGCGGTTCGTGGATATAACGCGCTCCTGTCCTGTCACCTAATTTTGTGGATGGAAATAGAAAAAAGAATAAAAAAACTCGCTAACATTAAGTTTCACTTCGAGCACTGCTTGAGTGCCGAATTTTTTTCTATAATATTTTTCCTATTTATTTGAATACTGAATAATAAAGATCAACTAATTCGCTGTATACAGGCGAGTTAACGGAGTGGCTGTTGGTCTCAAGCACCAAGATCTATCTCGGGCAAGCTTGTCGTTAAAAGCTTGGGAAGTTCTAGAGATTCTAGGCACTAAGACTGGGTCTGTATTTCAACTCCAAAGTAACTCCATGCCAAAAATTTTTCAGCAAACAGCTCCCGGGCAAGTATTATTGAAATTAAAAATTAAAAATGACAAAATGATGATGATCTACTTACTTGCTCAATTCATATAAATATAAATATAAAATAAAAAACAGCTGGCAATGGTAACAGTAAAGCGCCAAGCATTGCAGTTTTTGAAATTCTTTTTTACAAATTAATTTTAAAATTGCGAAATTATCAGAATTAACAATATTTTCTTTAATATTTTTTAAAATTTTTAATTTAAATCTTGAGTGTTTTTACAAAAAAAGTGAATATTAAACAATTCATAACAGTTGAATGGAAAATTTTGAAATAATTTGAATTCAAAGCAATTAATGTGCAAATGTTTTGACTGCAATGTAAAATATTCCAATGTACATACCCTTCTTTATCTTTTATGGCAGCGTTTCCCGGATTGGTGAATACGGGTGAAGAATGGTGGTCGGTGAGATTATTATTGCCGTTATTATTACTATCCTTATAATCATCATTATTACTACTGTTATCACCATTATCTTTATTTTTATCATTAGAGTTATTTTTGCAAGTACATATGAAAAATGTCGCAAATGTTACATATATATGAAATAATTAATATAATAAAATATGGTTATTAGATGGAGTACGGTATAGATTAATTCCCAATCATATAAAATCTGGAAAAATCGCGAGATAAGACTGGAAGAAAGAGAAGGAAGCAACTTTTCTGACCCCTGAAGCAATCGACTTACCAGATAATCGACACCATCTAAGAAAAGTTCAGCCCTTCTTTTATGCCATATAGTTGGAAACTGTGACCAATGCATAAAATCGCTGTTGTCCACACGAATAATTGTGGTATGGATAACAACAATGCCATGAAATACGAACAAATGATCATTTTCTGAAAGTCCCCACACGATTTTTCTTTTTTATTCGGATATTTGCAATAATTTCCTTATTTTTTTTTAGCCTTGAATCTTAAAGCCTCAAAATTTCTTTGCAAATTTTTAGAAATTCAAACTACGGTGAAGTGGGGATTTAAAAATGAATTGGAAAGAGACATGAAGCATATGTATATGTCTTCTGGAGATATAATTGTGCGAATTCTCGGAATATCGCCCGGATGATGCTCCAACCTCATCCCCTCTATCACCAAATGACTTCCACCCAGAGTCAATTAAAGCAAGCAAATCAGAAATGCTGCTATTGGAAGAAACGAGTCTTTCTTTTTTTTGTCTTTTCACGAAACATTTCTTGCTGCTTATATTATACCAATTAACCAGTAGTTTTTCTTAGCATTCTATAAATTCTATAAATTTTTTCTTTTTCTCTTTAATTCAGACCTTATACACCAAGAAAAATAGACGAACCATAACTGCAACTTAAACTGTAAATTTAAAAAAATTTAAAACTTAAGGAAAATTTCAAGATCCAAAGAAATTTTTCTTTTTAGTTGATGGCATTTATTTGGTAATTGATCAAGTAAACTTTCATGACTATTTTCTTTTAGTAAATAATTTCTGTTAAAATACTTCTAATTGCAAATTTTAAATTAATTTTATAGTAGTTTACGAAAAATTCAGAATAAAAATATTTTAAACTTTATATAACATAAATTAATTTATAATAAAAATTAATATGAAACCAACGAAGAAACCAACCATGAATACTGAATAATTTTGCCAAATGGCCAAACATAATATATGAGCCAAGCGATTTTACTTGGACAATAAATAAATGATAAATATTAAATCAACTGTGGCCAAATGAATTTTTAATAATATAAAACCAGTAAGAACATCATTTCGCTAAATTAAAGTATTAAATTAACATGGAAGCATTCAAAGTTACATAATTCTAACCAAGCCAATTCTTTTCCTTTCTTGCAACTATTCCAGAATTCATTAAATTTGAGTGAAAATAAGGAAACTGCGAGACAAATTTCCTTCTCGCACTTTCTATAACGTGATGGCTAAATAGCAGAAATGTTTCGAAAATTCGTCGGAAAATGTGTAACGGCTAATTATTAACGAACTCGTCAAAAGAAATTTTAAAAATTTTTTAATCGAAATTTTAATAAATGTGAATTAATTCCTATGAGAATTAATATTTGCATATTGGGTAAATTTGCATTTGTGACTATTCGAATGTTTTATTTTATTTTTAATTATTTATTCATGCTTTCAAGGATTATTAGTGATAAACTCATAAACATTTTTTCTTTAGAACTTTTCGTTTTCATTTTTCACTTTTCACTTTTCATTTCTTTTGGTTATATTCCTTTAACCTTCTCGAACTCCATTATATTCGTTTACATTGTATTTCTTATTATAGCGGTAGTTGAATTGGGGTCCACCGCGGACCCCTTTAGCAATTCAGTAAGTGCGTGAAAATCTAATGTAAATATTATATTTTTTTTCCTATTTTATTTAAATAGTGGCAAATCATATTAAATGATTATTATGCAGTTTATCATATTTAAATTGATTTTTTTATAAAATTGTATTCATTCATTCAAAAACTTAGGTGGGCTGGAGGATTTTCACGAATTTTTATGTCATTTAAGAAGAGCAGTAGAAAAAAAGACTTGTCACCGACTGCTATTAACTAATTATTTTTTTGAGAGTCGAGCCGTAAACTACAATTTCAACGTCGCAATCTCGATCCTCGAAGGCAAAAACCAAAGAAAATTTTTCCCAACCCCGAGGGACAATGCATTTTTGCAGATTTCCTTTAAAATTTCTTATTATCCGAAGAATGCACTTTTAATGCAAAAATTTTGCTAAAATGAAATAGTTGGGGGATTTTGGAGAATGCAAAATTAACATAATAATTAGTGTTAACATAATAAAAACTGAAATGTACTGTGAAGTATATTAAGTGTGAGATTTAATAAATTTAATTAATATTATCCATCAGATCTTTTATTTTTATTTTATTGTTATTGAAATATTTTATTTTTTAAAATTAATAAAATTACTCAAAAAATATTTATCATTAAAGTGCTTTAATGTTGAAATTAGGTTGTTTTATTAAAAACATTGGAAGCATTTGCTCAAATACTATATAACTCACTTGGTACCACCAATAAATAACTAATTCAAATTTGATAGGCCGAGAAAGAGATTCCGACTATTAAGTATAAATTTTAAGATTAACAGAAGAAATTTTATATTTTTTATGGATTTTTAAGGATTATAAGATCATAATTATGGGAAAATAATGAGAAAGATCGAAAGGGTATTAGTAACAATGAAAACTTATTGGCAGAATGAAATAGGGAATTCAAATTGCGTAAAGTTCTGAAACAAAAGAGATAGTAAACCATTTAAGATGGAGAAAACTAAATAATGATTATGAAATTAATCTGCAAAAGGTGAAAATAGACAATGAATCCCAGCGCTGTTTTTCGTATTTTTAACATTATCCGCATTTATTAAAATGGAATAATTCTCCATTATAACAAAAATTTTTCTGGCAAAAAACTTTGACTTTAATCATCATCAATCAATCGAAAAAATTTTAATTAATAAAAGATTCAAAAGAATTGACTAATTGAAAAAAGAAAAGAGAAAAGATAATGAAGCTAAATTAGAATCGAAAATCTAAGGCTAATTACGAACGACCTAATTAAAAATTATTTTTTAATTATTTAGTTCACATGTTCCGAAGCAATAAACGAGCAAAAAGAAGTTAGGCATTTTTTGAGCATAAAAAGTCTGATGAGATTACCGAGACAAAAAATATGGTGAAAGGAAGGGAGTGGTGGCGTATCAGTTGGTTGGCATTTGAGCATCGCTCTTTAAAGCTCAAAGGCCAATCCTTGAGATCATTTATAAGTAACGAACAATTTGCGAAATTAATGAAAGACTAATCAAAGACGACTAATGCATTTTTAACAATATGCCTAAGTCTTTTTATTACCAACCGTGATTTGAAATAATTCATAATTAATAGAACATTTGCCGAGATTACCGTCAAAATTTTCGATTCGGATTTACGGGAAAATTTCAATAAATTCGAAACAAATAGCGAACGATTATTCGCCTTTTAACAGTTTTCATTATATCTATTTAATTTCTGTTTTATTTGGTCCCCCGCTAGCTAGAAATGAGATCTTTTAATGAAAGAATCACTTGAGAATAGAAACAGAGGTGAACCTCTGGCAGCTATCGACCTTCACCTTCAATATTTAAAATATGCATGCACCAGTCACTGGACGAGAGTCTCCTAATTTCGTATAAACGAATAGCACGCTGTCATCACTTCGCAATGATTGGAAGAAAGTGATAATCTCAACGATAGCAGTGAGAAATGAACACTGATTATTAGTTGAAAATCCAAGTCAATGAATACATTTTATATGAAAATATTTATTACATTGCCATTTTATTTTTCATGTTTTTTTGCCTCTGTTGATTTCTGTTGAAAATTTGATGGATTTGAACGACTGAAATGAGAAATCTGAATAAGAATTTGAATATTCAAAGAAAAAAACGGGCAACGAACGATGAAACGATGAAACGATGAAGCGATGAAGCGACGAGATACATTGATGAATTCTCTTTTTCTTTTTTTTTCAAGAGCTCTGATCATCTCTGCTAGAATTCCCTCCACTGGCTTTTGGGACCATATAAATTTTCTCAGGAAGTCAAATAGCTAAAAACAGAGGTGGATCGTTACAACCATTCCGAATTTCGATAAGCTTACAGAGAGAAGTAGAACTCCAGTATTGGTGCTTCAAAGTCAGGGCAATAACTCATTGAACCAATCTATAGCAACGGTCGTCAAAACTGAACTCTATGGACTCTCTATGATCCATTGCGATTCTGTGGGAGTATAACTGGATTTATTTTATTTCAATGGTGATATGCCATTTTTATTAATACTTTATGCGGTTCCTTACATTTATTCAAAAGTTTTAGATGGAAACATGGAAATATTTTAAAATTTTAGTGCTTGAAAATGCTAGACTGGATGTCTATGAAATTTTTGGAAATACCTAGAAGATCTGTGAACAAAAAGATTCGATTGGCACGAATCCCAATCTAAAATTGAATCCAAAATTCGCAAATTTTGAAACAGGAAAACAAGGAATGAGTGAACCGAAGAATTCAGAATTAGGAAATTCCCGAACGAATGAACGAACTGAACGTAGCTACAGCCGTTCACACAATCGCTCATTGAGATACGCTCTTCTCCGTGTGCTTTTTCGTTTCATTTGTTTTCGCGGACTTATCATATATTTGTCACTTTGCAGAAAGAAATTTTGAAGAAATGACGCATAATTTGTACGAATTAACTTTATTCTCGACAGAAGACTATTAGAAATAATGACGAAAGACGAAATTAATATGAAATTAACATAGTTATGAAGAAATATGAGATTTAATGCAAATAATTGCAAATTACGATAATTCTGATCAAAATTGTACAATCAAAATTTCATCAAAAATTGACTGATTTATAAAAACGTAGCAAACATTCGCTTCTGAATTATATCTTTTTTATCAATAGAAAAAAAGATTGTGATTTCGGAAGAAAGGAAATCCTTGAATCCTCTCTCTATTATGAGAGAAAATATGACATAAAGTTATTAAGTGGTCATCGTTTACCATTTCTTGCTTGGATGTCGCTCTGCTCCGCTGGCTGTCAGCAAGACGGAACAATGCTGGAAGATCACAGCAAAAGGGAGAAATGGGACCACATGGGACCACATTATCACTCAGATGGTATACTTACACTCTCGTCGCTCGGAATAGCCTAGACAACAACCATTTGCTTATTCCTTTTCCGCTATACTAATAAAGGCGAAAAAACTCATTTCTTCACGAAAATTTTTATCTTCATTATTTTCTACTGCATAATTTCTTATTTGCTGAAATATTTTCTCCGCAATAAACCGCCTATAATAGTGTTAATCGATGCAGAAATTACTCAACACTTCAAATTTTTACCTTTACTTACTTTTATTGTGACGTAATACGTAATAATAAGTGATAACGTAATAATAAGTGATAATAAGTGATAATAAGAAAAGAAGAAGAGGAAAGAAATTAAAGGAATTTTTCAGTGAATGTCGCAAGAGTAAAATTTCTTTTTAATGAAAAACTAGCGAATTAGCAATTTGTTAAGGGCTAAGCAAATACGGAAAATAAATTTGAAAACCTTAACAAATATTGCAAAACGAAATGTGGAATGCTATCTCTTCGAGATTCTCTTTATTTCTTACAAAAAGAATTCATATTTCCGAGCACAAGCACAACGACTGTGAACAAAGAAGTGTCTCCGTTGCTCTCAAAAATTCTCCTTTGCTTAATTCAGACGATATTTATTTGATCTCTTCCAATTGTTTTACATAATAACTGCACCGTGCCATCTGAATCAATCATCTTTTTCCGTTTTTCCAGTCATTCGTTCCAATTCTTATCAGAATGAATTTCAATAAATTATGATATATTATGGTAAAAAATTATGAGTCAGCTTTTTAGCCGTTCATCTCACTTTATTCAGCATTTTTTCTTCAATACATTAATAAAATAAACCACAGTGTTTGAATGTAATTTTTACATTTACATGACTTTTTCAAAAATGGTAAAAAAAAATATAGTGAATTAACTTTTGTGAATTAAAATACAAAGCATAATTTAATATCTGAGTTAAGAAATATCTAAAAATATGAGAAAAAAACCTAAGTTTAGAAAAAATTTGCTAAGAGATATAACCTGGTTTAGAAGACCTAATCGATAAAACAGCGCCCCTTAAATTCTTCATTAATCCTTAAATCCTATTAGTGAGGAGCTCGCCCTCCTTAGGTTGCGCCTTATCGTTTTAGGGTCTCAAAATGGGGAGTATACTTTGTTGTTGCTAATATTCCTTTTTTCTTTTACAACTCGCACTGCTGCTGTTTTAACCGGCTGCATTTGCTATTAGGGTAAGATCCTATACATTATTGTACATTACATTATTCCCATTACTATTATTTACATTATAAGACCCTATACATTACATTAGTACAGCTGTACTACAGCATCTGAAGAGGGGATAGGCGATCAATTAGGACCATATTTATGTGCTGGGAGAGTCAGTTATTCCACTGCTCACGAGAAAATTTGCCATTAAAAAATGCATTAAAGAAATTGATGCTTGCGACTCATTCGCACCCTCGAGCACTTCCAAACCCACTTTAAGAACCACTGATGCAATGATAAGAATTTTTCTGGAAATTTATCTTGCAAAAACTTTATATAACTTTATATAATTTTATATTTGCACTTTGCCACCTAATTTAATCTATAAAATGAAGACTTCCTCTTTAAAAAATATAAATATCGTAATTTTTATTTGTATTTAATTCGAATATTTTAAATGTATATTTATTTCACCGTTTTCTCGACTCTTTTGTGCATTCATTACAAGTGGAATAAGGCCAAATTAACTGCTAAAACTTTTCAAAATTTTGCCATTAACGAAAAAAAAAGATGTCAATTAAAATTATCATTATAAATTCGATGTTCTTTACAGTTTGTCCGAAAGTAATTTTAATAATTTGATTATGAAAACTCATAATAATGAATATTTTCAAGTGCATTGTTGATATAAGTTGAAAGAAAAAGATTTAACTGATTGAGTGGTGAAAGGTCACACTGCTATTATTCCCTGTAAAGACTTTCTATTCGATAAGATATCATAGATTCACTAAACATATTTATTTTATTAATGTAATTAATGTAATTAAATATAACGATACTGCAGCTCTAATAAGTCCGATTCTCTTGTGCCAAATCGTAAAGGTAAATATAAAAGGTGCAAAAGGTGAACCAGAAAGATAGACAAAGGTGTCCAATAAATAATAAAATAATGGGATATAAAATAATTTAAATAATGCAAATCGGATATTATCGAATGATAATTGGTAAATATAAAGCAATAAGGAGGTTAATCAAGACAATAAAAACTGGGTATGCCATCAAAGAATTATGAGTTTTAAAATCTGCCGTCACAAAACATAAAAATGTTGAAAATCACTGTTTTTATTGACACATATATTCATATAAAAAAACGCAGCTATATATTTTATTGCATATATTTCCAAAATCTAGAAAATAAAACTCGCAAATGAGGCCAAAAAAATGTAGTTTTACCTCTCGTTATCTGTCTTCAAAAAACCACTAAACTTTTTAATCAAAGGTTTACAATAAGCCAATAAGTTTTAGCTTATTAAGTTAGATTACTTATAATTAATTCATTATATGCTAATCAAACTGAGTTATCCTCTATTCAATAATATTATTCATAAACATTTTGAAAACTTTCATAAGAAACACATTTAATAAAATTAAATATGATGAAAAAAGTATGAAATAAGTAAATGGTGCAAAATCAAGGAAAATGTTAAATATTTAAGACAATAAAATTTTTTAGAACAATTCGCAATTTGACTTAGCCACCTCTTTCAACGAATACAGCGCGATTCAGAAGATACTGAACCAATTCAAAACCATTTATTTCAAAAAGTTCTTAAATTAAAGAAATTATTAAGTGATAGATGAATGGGAGAATGGTAAAATTAATCAAAAGTTAAAGTAACTGTAATAATAATTTTATGCACCAGTGATACATCAAAAGAAAAAAGTAAAAAGTAAAAAAAGTACCAAGAACAATTTTGAAAAAACTGGAAAACTTTAAAAAATTTAATAAACAAAAAATTTGCAAAAACCTTTAACAGACGCCATTCGCCGTAATTCTGGTTCAGCTTTATCGGCATAAATTACTTTAATTTCACTGTTGCGACATTTAATAATGCCAAGCACATCAATAGGCCTTGAAACCTTTCCCGAAAAATTATTATCTGAATAAACGCAAACATGAGAATTTTTTTAGAAAATAGCATCGATAATTAAAGAGTATGAATCCACTTATCACCAATAATCTGGTAATATTACCCGTAAAAGAATACTATAAAAATGACATTTAAAGATACTGCATACCAAATGAGGTTATTGCAACATCAGAATCTTGAATTTCGGTATTTATAATAAGCTGAAAAGTACTGGCAAAATCAGAAATTTTTAATTATAAATGAAAAAATTTTATTAATTATTTGCAAGCTTTTTAAAAACTTTCAAACTCAATTTTTGCACAAAAATTAAATTAAAATAAGCTTTGATTCCAGCCGAAAACCAACCGCAGAACATCCCGAACTGTTCCCAAAAGATACGTCGCTTGTGTTCTCCACTGGTATCTATATTTTAACGCGAAAATAAAAACAAAATAAATTAGAATCGATAATTAAATAAATCAATTTAAAAAAGTTGCATTATAACTAAGAATTTCAATTATTTCTGATTTTTTCTAATGGCATAGCAGTTTACACACATCTTCACATAAATATTCATCTATTTTTCTAAATTTGATTAATGCAAGAGCTTAATAAAGGATCCGCAGAGATTGAAGAAAGGTGTGGAAAGATTTTAAGCGGTTCATGAGCTTAAACGAAGAAAAGAATTCATATCTTAATCAATTTTTTCCTTCAATTACAAACAAAGATATTAAAAGCAATAAGCGAAGTATAAATAATTTTGCTAAATGAAAAGAAACCACAGATATTTTCATAATTTTCAATTATCGAATCAATTTTCTATTTTGGCTAGGGATGAGCAGTTATTTCGAATTGCGTCGACCACTAAAAGTCCCATTCTCTGATTGAGGCAAGTTTTTTTGTCATTAAAAATCTGGGTAGTGCTGACAGCATCTATCGCCAAAAATTTCTAATCATACTTAAGTTAGGGGAATAAACCCAATCAGAAAATGATGAATGAAAATGAATGGTGAACTTTTTTTTAAACCAGTATATTTTATATTTTAATATAAAAGCTGTAGAAAATAAAAAGCATTAAAAACATATTTAGAGACATAAAAATACTTAATAAATAATACAAAGGACTGAAATACTTTTAAAAAACTGTCAAAAAGGCACAAAAGAGATTACGAAGATATATTTGAAGACCAGTAAAATACTGGACTGGCCAATTTTTATTTTAATTTAAATAGTCGCTTATAGTTGAAATAAGGATGTTTTTCAAAATTCTTATGAAGGTTTGCAAAAATTAATTGAAAAAATAAATAAATGTAATTAAATTTTACATAGAATGTTAAATAAAAACTAACCTTCTGGTCATTATTAAGTTCCAATTCAAGAACAGCATTAGCTGACGTACGACTGTCATCATTTACTACAGATGTATTCACAATTTCTTGGTTTTCATCCGATTTTCTTTTTTCTCCTCTGGATGTTAACTTCTCCCTTACTGGCTTCAATTTGCATTGAACTGAATTAGTTCTAATTTGTTGGACTGAAAGTTTCCTGCTATTCTTTTTTATTTAATGACGCCGCCAATAAGAAAATAAACAATTTTTCAACTTTTAAACACTTCAAACATCTAGATTTTCCATCTTTTGATTTTTTAAAGAATTTATTTATTAAATAAATAAAAAATATTGAATTTAAATTCATTAAATTTAAATTCAAATAAAAAGTCCGCCTCAAGCTAGACAAATAGTTTTTACCACAATAAATTTGTAAAAAAATTCATTATATTCATTAATCAACTCATCAACTATTCATAGTTTTTGTTTTGTATTTATGAATCAGTATTTTTATTATTTAAATGTTGGGAAAAAAAGATGCAGAAAAAAAATATGGAAATAAAGAAGAATCCAATTTGGAAAATATGTGGAGAAAGAAATAAAAATAATGACAAATACCGGAATTCTTTCCAGAATGAAGAAATCTGGCAAAAGAATCCTCTGACTCACCATCATCCGCATCATCATATAACCAGGCATTTTTTGAATTACGAATTGGGCATTCCTTAATTTTCATTCTTTCCTGCTTAAAAACATATGTTTCAGGAAAACTATTAAAATATTTCTCTACTCATTAAATAATTCACCGAATTTGCGTAAATGAAATTAAGCAATTAAAACCTCATTCAAACGACTTTATAGAATTCTTTTTCTATTAAAGGGTAAGATAGCCGGGTGGCACATTCCTTCGACTAAGGTCAACTATTTTCAAATTATTATTAAAAGTGGAATTCGGATACTGCTATGGATTATCTAAATTTTTCGGGTGATTTTAGCCCTAATGACCAATGGGACCAATAAAACCATAGTCAGGAAAATTTATTATAGGACCATGACCAGGAAAATGATGTGTAGATTAATATTAACGGTAGAAATTATTAGTATTCAGATATTCTTTTAAAAAACGGAATGGTTAAGGATAGAAAACCTGAGACAAAGCAGAATCGGCCTCCACTTTCACCAATGCCTTTTCATTCTTAATAGATGATCTCTTGCTTTGTCCATTTGCTCTAAATTAAGATAATTTTCAAAAAAATTAATGATAAATTAATGAAAAAGAATAAAATTAAAATGATAAATAAAAATGAGAACTGAAACTTTTTCTTAGATGGAGGTGGTTTATAGTCTTCATCATCAACACTTTTACCATCGATCGACTGGCTATCAATTTCATCCTTAACAACTTCCAAATCTTTTCGAAACAGCTGACTCTTTCTGGGTGATTTTCTTTGATCTGCGATAAGATTTCTTTTTCGTTTTCTTTTGCCAAGTTTTGTACTACGCGATGCGCGATTCCGTTTCTAAATTATGATCAGCAGAATATCACTAAGTTGACTGGAAAAGATCTTATCTTGAATCAATCAGCGGCTGAGTTAAAAATCAATTCTAAATTGCTTAAAACCAATATTGAACCTTATCTATTTAGTAAAATAATTAAACTGGAGATTTACAGCAAAATGAGAAAATTTTCTAATATGGTGAAATGAAAAGGTTTTTGTGATTTTATTAGAGAAGCGCTTAATTATTTTGTAATTGCAATTGCAATACAAATGCAATTAAATTAATCATACGTCAGTTTTCTTTTGCTGATACTGCTTCACAGCTTTTAAATATTCTTTAGCTTCATCAATTCGGTCTTGATTTTCTTTTCGAAATTCGTCGAGAACCAAATTTGCTGATTCTAAATTATATTCTGGTTCCCAAGAATCATCATCAGATTGATACCCTTTCCAGCGAACCTGGAACTGGTTTTTTTTGACTTTCCATTTTGACAAAAGATTGGAACCTACTGATATTACTCCATAAAAAATCATAAATAAGGCACTAAAAGAAAAACCATCTAAACCAGTATTTCAATATATACAGTACAATATTCTAGCAGTCACATAAAAACTGAAAAAATTAAAAGTCCACAGGGACTGCCATGGAAACCATAATATTATCAGAAACGAAACAATCTAATTGAAAAATCTCATACAAGCAGTGTCGTGAAATTTCGATTTATACAATTTCTAATTTATAATTTAATATCGAAATTATGTAATCTAATTCTATAACTTTGATTCTGATTAAACAACAGTGGATAATGAAAATCAGAACTTAGAACTTGAAATTATTCGATGTGAATTATTGTACTTATCCACTGCTTTTACCTTTTTACTCCTAAAACCTACATTTTACTGTTTTTCGGAAATAAGAAGATATTTTTGTGGCAATTTTCGACAATCGGCCTTCATAATTGTAAAAAAAAAGATTAAGAGCGCATATGGAGTAAACTGCTGACAAGCAGATGTCGATAATTCAAGCAGTTTTCTATTTTGGTCAGCATATGTAAGACTTGGCTGAATCCAAAGGCAAGTCCTGTAGTTACATATTTTCACAAATCCATTCAGCAAAAGGAAGGTGAAAATTTCAAAGTTTTCCATTATACGTCGCAATATTTTCACATTCCATCCTATCACCTTTTTTAGAATCACTTCTTTCTCCTCTATTAATGAATATGTTCTATAAAAACGAGTTGCGAAAACCATATGGATTAAAATGCTTTAATTATTTCTAGACCTTAGGACGATCCATCGTAGTCAAGTTTAGCTTTAGAAATTCCAAATCCCTCTCTATCGAGAGGTATGGGGTGAAATAATTTTTAACTACCGCATACCCGAGCTTCTTTCTCCATTTCATTGACAAAATTATTTTAAAATCGTTCCTTGTTCTGTTTCATCTATCCTCCCCAGTATGTCGAAACTGCTGATAGTTCAAGTCTCCTAAAAATCGCACTCCATTCCGATAGTACCGAGAACCAAACAGTTCACGTTCATACAACATATCTTAAGGTGGATGTTCATCTGTTAGGCAAAGAGGTGCTAAGATAAATTAAACTATATTTCAGCTTCAATACCACTTGAAGCTTACTTACATTGCCCTTGAATTCTTAAATACCTATCTCATAAATTAAGATCAAGTAAAAGCTAAAATCCCCAGATGGATGTAAATAGAATAGAACAGGATTCTTTTTTCTACCTGGGCAAGCCATAATAGAATCGTCTTGAAGTCGAGAGTTGTATTCGTTTGGCTGAAGTGCATAGAATCCTGTAATGATTTAAAATCCCTGCAGCTAGTGGATATAATCTAACTAGCTCTTAATAAAGGAAGAAGTAAATTTTTTGCTGATGCATTCATGCGTTCATTTCATGAAAGTCTGTTCGTCTTATATTTAAGAAACTAATAAAATACCTACTTTTATCAATTCATCGTTGGTTAAAGAATTACCTGATTTTAAATACCTTGGATCCACTCTAATACCGAATGGACCGGACAAATGGACAAAAGATAACGGCAGTTAGAAATAAATCCTTCCAGTTGGAGAAATATTTATGGAGTCGGAAAGATCGTAAAAAAATCGAGAGACCACGTCTATAAAGCTGTTCGCTCGATCTTGCAATATAGAAAATATGGCCAATGAGAGTGGAGGATTAAGAAGTTATCAACGTTCGACCACTCATGTTAAAGATGATCTTAAGGGTCCGCCGAATAAAATAGTACTCCACTGCGTCCACCTTCGCTCAAATATCACTTGCATATTCTATACTATTTAATGCTTTAACTGGTCAGGGCATATTCTTCGTCGCTGAAATGTTTCTTAGTTATTTGCTGCAACGGTTACAGTCAAAAGCGGGGTGGCCGACCACCCCAACTGACTTCAACCAAAGCCTTAAGGGAAGGCGGAGGGGCACGCAGAAGGCGTTCATTCGAGGACATTAAGACAACAATTAAGGCAATAATAATAGCAATAATGAAATCGCACTAAGTATCGTATTTCCTCATCGATCACTTTTACGTCGAGAATTCTTTCCACTTCGAACAAACCGTCCTCCAACTCCTCGTTCTCATCCATTTCCGCACTTCCGACGTCCTTTAAAATTTAGAATTATAATCCAACCGAAATTCCAAAAAACATTCTTATACTTTCTTAAAATTCCTCAGAATATCATAAAAAAACTTGCCATCTCCATGATTTCATAAAATACACTGCAGACCTGCTTCTAACACAAAACCACTTCCCTTATAGAAAACTTCAAATAAAAAATTAAGACCGCTCTTTTTCGCAGAATCATTTGCGTACCCACCGACAAATAAAATAATTAAATTCGCAGCTTCGGATTCACCGGCAAATTTAAAAAATCTCGCGGTTTGGTTGCATTTAAGACAAAAAGGGGAATCGCGTTGCAATCTGCGCCGCTTCTCACCTTTAATTTTTAACCAATGCATGAGAAGTGAATTGAAATCGGTTTTCGTTCGGGGAGAGTGGAACCAAAATAAGTTGAATCGCCACTGAACAGGCGGGTTTGCGTCAACAATTGCTGCCAGAATCAGATAGAGGGCTTTCGGAAGGCAGGAGGTGTCCATGCGGTGCTCGGATGGAGGCTGTTGCCTGACCTACCTCTGCTCTGCTGTGGTACCTGTCAGCTCTGGTATTGGTGAAGTCAATCAAGCTCACAGCATCTGTGATGTGCTTAAATTTAGTTCTTTAGAGTTTATTTAAAGTTGTTTTATATTATTAAGATTCACTAAACCCTGGAAAGAAGGGCTAAGCTAGCCGAATGGATTGTGGCTTATGGATTATTATCTGATTGAGAGATATTCAATTCCTGACACATGAGGAAATCTATCAATAAAAAATTCGAAATTCGAATGCAGATGATCCACATGGCGATTTACTTTTATCATTAAAAAAAATTTCTAGCCATACTGATGGCCAGCGAGTCTAATCAGAAATGCTAACCGCTTCTCTTTTTTTACGTTGAAAAGTTAAGGTCGAGCTCGAGCACTTAATCGAGTGGCTTCCGTTTACAAAATTTTACTTGGGCTCATCGATCTAGAATTCGGGAATATTACTTGATTCAAACCGCAGCCGGTGCTTTCTATATGCAATGCTTTGTGACTGTGCAAACAGCTTATTATTACATGTAAATAAGTGCATTTATTCTTATCTCGAGAGCCACTGATAAAAGCTTTCTATGCTATAATGTCGTGTTTTTTTAAGGCAAGTTAGTTGTATGTCGTGAATTGATTGTAGGATTGATTGTAGGATGTTTAACTTTGTTTAATTTTATACTCCTTTCATGGAAATTTCTTAAAATTGCGCCGAATTCCACTGAAACATTTGAAGTTCGCTTTGTCGGTTTTGTGATTTCAGTGAAGCGTGCATATACTTGAACACTCTGCTCACGCAACAGTATACACGAAAAAGCGAATCAGAGACTGTGTACCAGTACCAGTTGAGAACGTAAAATGAAATGAGATAAGATGAAAAATTAGTGTATCGATTATTATTTTCTGTGCATGATTGCTTTGTGAGTTTAAATTTAGAGATGGAGCCACGCAAATAGAAAATGTTTGATTCAGAGAGCGAACGGATCTAAAGTGAAGATTCAGAGAAATTACGTCAGGAGAAAGATGAAGAATCTTTCGAAAATCGTCTTCTATGACCCGATAGCCAACGACCAGCTTGCAACGCAGTAAGAGTCATAGCAAAATGTCCCATCAAGCAACTTCTGTCAAGAAATCATTTGACAATAGAAGTGCAGATTAGTCAGCAGTATTACTGGGTTTTTTGAAAAATAAGTTTATTTCTACCGAGAGTACAACATCGGTGTTGGCGCTCTGAAATGAAAACAACAAATCACTGGTTCTTTTTAATCACGAGACTAGTTTAACCATCAGTCAAAAAATCATTATATTATTCTATATATTTAAACCACAATTTGCAATTCATATATTTAAAAAACAATTTGCAGATTTGCTGCTCCAGAAAGATTACAACATTATGATTCTTCAGTATTGATGAAGGTGACCCCAGATAGCTTTTAGTCTTGACAACCCATCTTCCAAGTCATCCAGATCAAAATTACTTGATTATGTAATTGTTGGTGATCTTAATATGAAAACATAGCCTGGGAAAATAACTGTAGAACAGCAGCAAATTTGAAGAGGACTTTTACTTGATGCCAATAATTTAATATCCATTAGTATGGCTTTTGTATAAAAAATCCACAAATATATCTTTTTGATTGGTCAGCATCAGTTGATGTTGGAAAAATAATATCTCAGTTGTGTACCTAAATTTGGCCAAAGTATTTAATACCGTTCGCCACGGTAAGCTGGCCACTATTAATAGCTATGGCATTAAAGAGGGCCTGTATAACTGGATGGTTAGTTAAAGCACCGATACTAAGCTATAAATATCAATCTTCCTTTCAAATACAACTCCATTTGAATCAGGCGTTCCTCAGGATGATTGTATCGCACCATTGCTTTTTCTTCATATATATTAATAGTATCAACAAAGTTGTATTAAACTCTACCATCTAGCATCTTCGATGACTATAAAATTTGTTATTTTACGAGAGATTGGATAATTTATCTCCACTACAAGATGGCATTTTTGGAGGATCGAGGAACCATCGCTCTCGTCTTGTTTCACTCCTTTTTCTTCATAACTACTCTTTTTAACTACATTCACTTTTACTTTAAATCTGTTAAATAATTATTCTCCTTAACTACATTCGCTATTACGTCAAATTTGTTAAATATTTTCATTCATTATCTTTTTATAACTGTAATTTTAATAAGTATTTTTATACACGGTCGCACTTGCACATTCTTTTTCCGACAAGTGTAGTTGTAAATTCGAAATTTTAAGGCAAATTCGATTTTCCTAATCTTTTTATTAATGGCAGCATAATTAGAATTAGACGATTCTCGATTATCTCAGATCTTGGCATAATTATGGGTGAAAATCTTGATTTCGACTTTCAGGACCATATTAAAGAAATTCTTAAGAGTATTAAATTTTTGCTCGTTTAAAATGGAGCTTTCTTATTAAAAATATTCATTCAATGTACAATTCATTCGTTTAGCCTCTTCTTGAGTACAGTACAAGCTGTTCCTCCCTTAGATACCGTTAATCAAGTAAATTAATTGAACGATAAATATTATAATTTTAAGGCAAATTTGAACCCAATAAGATCTAATGGACTAAAAAACCTAAATGCAAAATTAAACTATTAAGAACTCATGGCTTTTTCACTGCACCATTAATTAAGCTACCGAAGGATGTATCATCCTTGGCTATTTTTAAAAAAAGATTGATAATATCGTCCATGATATTACATAAAAGATTCACATTATGAAGGTTGTTTGAATCATCTTTTGTCATCCGATTATCTATCAGAAAAACATTTTTACGTTATTTTATAATTCCTCTTTATTTCTTTTTTACATTATTGGCTTATGTCTTATTGTTTGTTTTTTTTTCTATTTTTATCACTAATTTTCTTCATTTGTCATTCTATTTGTTGCTATTAATGCGAGCACATTGCGCTTGTCGCCTTGTTTGGTTCATTTTAGTAAATAAATATTGTTCAATCTGACTATCATTCTTCATCTTTCCTTGGTGCTGAATGACCCAATGACAATTCCAGCTCCAAAACCAAGAAGCTCTGGGAAAGAAGTCGGCTATTTTTCAGCTTTAAAGATCGATTCCATTAGAGTTTAAAAAAACTCATATCTTGTTGAAAATAGACCGTAGATTGCTGGTGCTTATTTTTTCGAATATATTATTTTCATTCGACATTTACTACTTTTGCATAATTTCTTGTATTTGTTGTAATTACCATTATAATCAAATTTTTCCCATCGTATAACTTTTTGCTACGATATTGGCCAGTTTAATCTGTGCCTATGTGGTTACCATTGATATTATTTTTGCTGTTAATATATAGTTTTTTGTAATTATTTTGATTCATATTTGTTGTTATTCATTGTTTCTTTCTTATTTTGGTCATTATTACATTATTATTTTATTTATTTATTTATTATGTCTATTAATAAATAAATAAAAATTATGTTTTCGGATATTTAAGTTTTTTAAGTGGGAAACTGTTTTCAACAATAATAATAGAAAAATAGCATAACAGTTCGCCAGTTATAAAATAACACAGAGATTTTTTCCTGAATGGCTGTTTTTTTAAATTTCCAATGAAAAAATTTTTATCAGATTCTTCAATGTTTTTAATAGTACACAAAATGCAATATTTTAAAGCCAACTTTAAATTACTAACTTATATTTTTTTCTACAGAAATTTAGTAATATATCCATAATTAATTAAATGGTGATTAATTATGCATTGAAAAAAATGTTAGTAGAATAATAGAATAATTATAATAATGCAACATATATGCGTACATTTGCGTATATTCCCACATGCTATAAAAATATAAGTTGGTAGTTTAACGGAAAATTCATTTATTTCCTCCAAAGCCGGCCAAAATTTCTTCAAAACATGCTCATGGCACAGTCATAGTTACAAGTGGTAAAAGTAAATTTGTAAAAAGTAAAACGAAAATGAATAATATTAAAGTAATTTTAATTGTGCAGAAATTTTGAGGTATTAAGGGAGAATTATATGGATTTGGCTGGCATCAAAAAAGCGAATCAGGACTTTGAGAGGAGTGCCACAGATTATGAAGAATATTAACTAGTATGTAAAGGTTGTAAAGAAATTCTAGCCGACTTTAAGTTTTTCATTGGTTTATCTAAATACTTTTAATTGGATCGATATTTGTGCGGGTTTCATATGACCTTAAAAAATAATTTCTTTTTGATAATAATCATTTATAAAAAATTTTTTCATTTTTTTGTTCGTAGAACGGCGAAAGCACAAGGCTACTTTGGAGTCGGCTCGCTTTCACTTTTTGAGACTCGCCTGCAAGGCTTTTCCTTCATTGGGCCATTCTTCGATATCACTGGGTTCATCTTTTATGTTTTTTTGTATTCCATCGGCTCTTTTTGCTTTCTTTATGGATGTATATTTGAATTTTTTTTGCTGGATC